CTAGGTACACAACTGAGGAAAACACCAGCCAGGTCTCAGACACACCAAAACATCAGTGAGCACCAAAGTCTGCATTTACCTCCCAATGCCACTGTCAGAACTGAATAATAATCATCCAGTAACTCGGATTAACATTCTAGGTTAACACTCTAGCAGGGAATAAAAATCCCTTCTCCGAGGATCATAAAATGGTTTCTTAGTTCCTGCGGTTTCTTTACTGCAGGACACAACTCTCATACTATAATATAAAGCAAAGCAAATTTTTACTAAGCTACACAGCAGCATTGCCAGAACGCTAGGACACACCCCAGGAGTCCTGACCCCACACTTAGAGCTCCTTAAAGTTTTACTATATGAATAGAAACTATTCACTATATGAATAGAAATTATGCCTTTTGTTTTCCCCTGAGTGAAGGGAAACAAGAGTGGTCAGTACATCTTCTGCACAGCTGGATTTAACCTTCACAGCTGTATTACTTCCCCAGTGTATAATCTTCATTTGTTCATTCACTGTTACCTGACTTTTTACATTGACTTACCTACTTAATTTATACTATAAATACTTCACGATACAGATTTTGGCATCCTACACTGCACATTGTTGCCATGCTGTAATCAGACAAGTGCCGTGACAGCTCCCCAAAGCTGGGGACCCTTGCAGACTGCTCCTTCACAAGAGGCACTGGGTTTGCTCAGGGTGCTCAGAGTAGATATATTTCACAACATCACCGTTACACTCGACTGATACTTTCTCAAGTTTGTTGCACTAGAGTCTTATTAAAACACTGATTCCAGTTGAGTCACATTGTATACCCCTGTATACTGTTTGATATCCTGTCCTATCTTTAAAAATGCTGACATTTTCCTCTTCATTTTGGAAGTCGCCTTTCACACACTGGGGATTTAGATTTTGCAGCCTTTACTCTCCTCAGAGACTTGGCAAGGTCTTTCTGCAAAGCTGAGTAAAAATGAATTATGCTATTCCTCTTGGCATTAATGAGAATGTTGTTTCTGCGATGTAGAATCTACCTAATATAGACTTATATAAAAAGAAAATTACATAAAAATAAGAATACAATACACATTAAGCTCAGTTACTTTTCTGATACTGTTAATATGTCCAAAGTCTTCAGTACACATTTATTAAAACGGAGTCAACCCCACCAGAAACCATAGATGTTGCTTGTGAAAAACAACTTGAGTGTTTACTCCTCCTGACTTCTCATCTTCTGAGCTGCAATAGGAAAAGGTGCCTTATGACAAGCAACACGTCAAACTAATTATCCACAAAGATTTTAAACTACATATTTGCTCTCTGGAATAATATAATCCAGATGTAGGAAAGGCATGGTTTTGATCAATCATTCTATACATCCCATGATACTGAATCACATGTGTAGGTGTGTGCACCACAGTAACTATCTATATTGTACATGATTAATCAACTTGGCTTGCACAGGCGTTTTTGTGTGTGCTTCTTCTGTATGATTTTAGTACCACCTCTAAGCATGCTGTAGTTCTAAAAATGAATAGAAAGCCTTTGCATATTCAAAGGTAACAACTAAATATTCCTAATCCCCATAAATTACTTGTTCTTGTTCTGTGGCTGCAAGGATTTTCATGAAAGACTGAGCATGACTCTCAACTGCATAACTGCATCAAAAAAAAAAAAAAAAAAAAAAAAAAGATTAAAAGCTGCCTCTATACCACTATAGAAGAGCTTGGGAAACACAGGACTTTCACTCCAGCACACGGATGGCCATTTAAATGGACTCATCATCAAAGACTGTACTGGAAGCTTGAGTGCAGCCCACCCCAGAACATAACACCACCACCCTACAGACCTCCAAAGTCTTTTTCCTTCCCTAAAAAAAATTGAAGCATTCCAGCACAGCCTGTCTCTATTAGCTGTGTACTGAAAGTGAAACTGTGTATAAAGAGCATTCACTTAATAATATTACATGTAATAGTGCAGGATACAAAAAGTAAATGATTAAAACCTCTTGCTTTTCTTACCTGATGAGACCCGAGTTCAGATTTGGTTTTGTTTTCACCGATTACAGCAGTTAACACATTTGCCTCTACACTGTAGTCCTTTGGTATAGTTATCCTCCTTACCAAACCAAATCTGGAGAGCTCAATGAAACAATTCAATGCATCACTGATTCATGTGGATTTCCAGCCAAGTGAGTCTACTGGAAAACTGTCCATTTAATGACCACAGACAAGCCAAGATGCTCCCCACCCAAGAACAGTACTACCCAATCAACTGTCAGTCCTCTCAAGTGATACTGCCAGGATCTTTCTGTCATAGAGGAAACACTTATCCATGAGTTCCTCCCTTACCTCTGAAATCGTTCTCTTAGATGAAGAGAGAGATAGCTAACCAACTTTCCTCATTGGCATTGCTGCAGGGGAGAGCAAGCAGACTGTTAATGTCTCTGGCTTTCCTTCAGAGGAAAGCATCACACCCTGTTTTCCCCACTAGAAAGGCAAAACAGCAGAGCAGAGGTTAGCAGTGTTAACTACCACATTACAGACTACACAAAAAAATGGGCTAGTTTAAGACTAGCAATAAAACAGTAAACTCCAGAATAAGAAGCCAGAACTGATGATCAGGAACCAGTTTTACTCAACTATGTGGAGGTGCTCCCTTCCCTTTCTTTATTCCAAGAGACCATGATTTTCCTAGTTTAGGGTGACCGAAAGATGAAGGAAGTGCATCTCACTTTCAGAGATAAGAGGAGCAGAAGGTCAATTAAAAGGAGGACCTTTACAAATAATATAATTTGTTAAAAAGATAACTTTTAGCAGGAATATACTGCCTTTCTTTGAATGAAGAAATATGGCAATAATGGAGGGAATACAGGGCAAAGCTCAACACGGTTTGGGGAGAAGACTAAAACAACAAAACCAAATTCACACCATAGAATCTAATTCTGAATTACATAAAGGACTAGATTAGTCTCTAGTAGTGAACTAATTAAGCAACATGCAAAACCACAAACTGCTTAGTCTTCCTCAGAAAGCTCTGAGGATGGGGGTAAGATAGCAGTAAGCAAGACTACTCAGAAGTTTGGGTTTGGGGGCTTTTTTGCACAGCTTTTTCTGTTCACATGAACTGCTTGCTATTCACTTTTTTTTTTAAACTAAAAAGTACCAAGCCAAACAATTCACATGTAAATAATAACGTGGATAATGTGTCTCATAGGACTTGCAGTTTCTAGCCCCTGGTCTCCACTTCCTGCTTCAGTGATGCTGTTTATCCTGATGTCTCTATTAGACGCCCCACAGCAAGAGCGCGGCTCCCTGACAGCGTGGCTGGGAAACAGGAACCAGATGACAGAGCAGACGAGAAAGGAAACATTAATGTACAATGCCCAAGATGTGACAGAGTAACATTTTCAAATGGGATTATTTTTGTTGTTTAAAGGATTCTTATTGTTTTAATTCTTTACCTCTAAAATCAGCTTCTACAAGTTCTGAGTCATTCTACTGCTAATCTTCAGAAATACTCAGTTCCCTAAATTATCCCTTTGCTTTTTCAAAATTAAAAATTCAAATGAGACTGTGAGCTTTTCAGAAAAGCGGTCCAATGGCACAATTCACATTGTGCCCTGAAACTTTTGGTTATTAATGGACATTTTAAAATAGCATTATTGCAAATATCCCAACATATTTCTGTTTACTTTACTATTATGACACTTTTAAAGTATCTAAAAACTGCAAAATTGCCTTCTTAACAAAACACAGTCCTAATGCAATCAACAGCTTGACAATACTTTCAGCTGAAAATGCAAAATCCATTTACATCTTAAGTAGAAGAGTTTCTTTTCTGTACACAACAGCTGAGAGGCTTGTTATTTTATTGCAATCATTTTAAATTCTTCTTAAGTGAGACAGACAAGAAACAGGAAGAGAATGCTAATTTCAAATGTTGGCACATTTTGTCTGCTTTATGACAGACAAAAAAGGGATTTTCTGTTTTCATCTTATATTCTGAACCGTAATACAGTACAGTGACATTGATTCAAAAGTCAGATAAAATCTGTGTTGACAACTACAATTCTTTTATTGGACATATTTACTGAGCATTGAACACTGCTGTTTACGTAGGCACAGATTTAAGAATAACACCACAAAAATCAAAATGATAAAGTGCAGACCTGTACTGAGAAGCAGGCCTGGTAAGTCAGTCTACTCCTACAACTCAGCAGAAAAATAAAAGAAAACTGCCATTACAAGAGAAAAAAAATATATTGTAAATTGTGCTTAGAGTTGACAGAAAAGTACAGCTTTTCCCACATATTCCCAATATATTCAAACAACAAGTCCCATGAGCATAAGCACACTGTTTGTCGCAGTGAATATTTTCAGTTAGACTTTGGCTTCCACAAGCTACAAAATTACTTATGAATTTTAAAAAGGTGTACTGAGTTCTCTTGGCATAATTTCTTCCCTTAATGTTAAATAGTGTTTTCGAAAACAAGTAATTCTACCAATGACCAAATAAAAAAGTAACCACAAATAGCACTGAACATCAAAACTGTGGTTTTCTGCTAGTAAAAAATTGTATTGCTGTTTTTGTTTGTTTGTTTGCTTTTTCCTCCTGTGAGGAACCCCTGCAAACACTTTTCTTCTCCATTCATTTTCTAGAAGCATCATGTGCCTCTAAATATGTGTGTGTACATATGTACATTATATTTCAGAATCAAAATTATATACTACTCTCCTCCTCTTATCCCACCCCGAAAAAAAAATCTCCCTGCCATGATTTCCTGCAAATAATAACCAAGACTGATGAGAAACACTGGAAAAAGGAAGGCAGTGTGACTCATGATTTTAAATCACAGTCTCTGATAGATCTCATTCTCACTTATTTCAGAATTTTCTCCTTAAGAAGATTAAGGAAACAAAATGGTAACTTCAGCATGATCTAATCTTTCCTATCTCACAAGGGCAGTTTTCTGACAAAATATATATATATATATATTTCCAGAGCTTGCACAGATCTAGAAAAAAATAGTAGACACCAAGAAGAATAAAAACTAATATAAGCTAAAACATTATTTTGTAGTAAACAATAGAATATAACGTGCAATAGTGCAATTTCTCCTTTGCTGCTCCAACAATGCAAGTCTTGATATTGAGTCCACTGAATTTTAACCTAACAGCATTTCACATCTAAGTACGTGCTTGTCGTGAATTGCTGGTTTTACCAGACTTCTGGGCTGAATCACTTTGTCCAGGCTCTCCCTTTCCCTTTCCAAGGTGGCGAAGTTTCTGATCCCAGCGCTGCATATTGAAGTACAAAAAACAGTAATAAAAAAATATGATAGAAGAACAAATAAGTATTACTCAAAACAATCACATACATTTACAAACCATTCACTTTAGAAATGCCCCGTTAGAGACATTCCTACATTGTGAAGAATAGATTTAGTAAGGGATCTTGATAAACTTTAATAAAGGAATGCTACCAGACTTCACTCAAAGGAAGACTACTGGAAGGGAAAACAGTTTTTTGCCCCTGGATTTAATCACTGTTTTTCCTCCTACCATTTACAACTCAACACTACAGCACAGCACTTTGGATAATTGGCTATATAATTTTGCAAAGGTGTTAATTCAAAAGGATTCAAAAGAAACACAGAGCGCTGAACTGAGAACTGAATACATAGCTGTATTCCTTGCAGAAGCTGCAAAAAACTCTGAGGAATAAAATCTATAAAAAAATTCGATATTCCTAATTCAGTTTACCTGACAGTTCAAATTTTTTTTTTTTTTTTTTGAGATTGAAGTCTTGGTTGCTCTTATGCCATTGTACGATTGAGGTAAATCCATTTATCTCTTTATTTTTAGTGTGTTTTTCTGAGTAATATAATAAATAACACGCCAGACTAACGTTGAATCACTGAGACTACTGAACTAGGGCCTGCCTGTGTATTTTCTTTCTTTTTTTTGAAAAGGGGGGAAGGGGCCAAGCATTTTATGATATTTGCAGAGCTTGACTTTTGGTGAGACGTTTTCTTACCTTTACTTTTTTCCCTAGACGATCCTTCCACTTCTCTGCTATGGAGCCTTCTACCAAGAGTAACCTACATATTAGAGACAATCGGTCATTTCAGCAACAGGTGTATATAGGCTGGATATAGGCTGTACAAGCCAACACAAACAAAACTCTGAACAACCGTGCTCACAGAGAGAGCTTTCTACCATTCAGCAGTCCAGCTGAATTTGATTAAGGAGACGTACAGGAGCCGTACATCGGCTTTCCAGACCAGTGCCTCTAAAACACAGTTCTGTGGGTAGATGGATAACAGGAACGCTTCAAGGATAAGGCGTAAGCAGTTACCTGGAGCGCTCCTCATCTTCATAGCCCATTATGATGTACTCTTCATTGGCGCTGAGTGGGGGACATAGGCAACCCGAGTTTGTGTAAAGGTTTACAGTGTCCTTAGGGATGTTCACCAAAGAAGATTTTAGAATCTCCTTGACTTCTACTACTGCAGTGACATCGTGACATTTAGTCTTCACCTCCTTCACTTTAGCCCGAATGACTGGGGAAAAGTAACAAAGAGTAGACTTAACAGCAGCAAATATTACGGGTTACCCATAAGTCATTCCTAACAGCCTCACACAGATTTAGAACACAAAATATTAAATGACCTTTATTTGTTCCCCTCTCATCCTAGCCTGCTGAGTTACATGTCATTGTGTGACCATACGGCAAAGCTCTAGTTTTCAGTGTTGCACAGATTAGGTTTTTTGTGTGCTCATTTACCAAAGTGCAGCTGAACTCCAGAAATTTTCCCACTCCCTACTCGTTGCTTCTTCCCTTCATCCTCCATGAAGAGGGCAATCCATATTGGATATTTAGTTATTTGTATGCTTTCCTCCTTTCACTCGTGATACAATTGCTCCCTCCTTGACTACTGGCAGTACACATGACCAAAGTCAATTTGTCATTCTCAGCCCCTCACAAAATGGGAATATGCATCAAAGCTTATTGTATCACAAACTCCACTGGATGACAGGCCTTTACCTTTTATATTCTCTCTCCAGTGACCCAGCACCAATCTATTCTGTCCTTTATGAACTCCAAATGCTCCTGATCTTGACCTAATGACATGTCTAATTGTTTCTTGCCTTATCCTTTCTTTTCCTCTTAAGTTGCTTAGGAGAGAAAGTTGCCTTTTAAAGGCAACAGCTTTTCAGGTCTCTCATAATATCCATTGAACTGAAACCACATGCAAACACAAAGCAAATCCAGAGGCCATACTCAGAGAATACTACAGCTTTCATAGCTTGCAGACAATAGAAACCCTTCCCATTTCAGACCAAGGATCTGTGGATTTTTATTCTGCTATAACCTATGTGACAAAGTTAATATGGAAGAAAAAATTATAAAAGAAAATCATAGACTTCTCTCTTCTCATGCATGGTCGATAAACTTGTTCAACCAGAATGAATTTCAGATGGTTAAATAGCAGCTTTAATACAGCTGCCAACAATTAATAAGTATTATACATTCAACAGACACAAAACGATCCACTCTCTTAAAACCTTTTAAGACTTTAACACAAAATCTTACTTTAGTTTGGAGCTCTTTCAAATGCCTTTCGAAAGCTCTTTAGTTTTAAAAGAAAGAAAAGAAGGAAACATTGTGATAAAGAATACAAAGAGAGACAGTGGTTAGTAATAATCTCCAAACCAATTCCTGCACAGTCATCAGTGGCGCGCTCAGTAACTCTCTACAACATGCAGGTGCAGTATCCACTAGAGAATAGTCATTCCATAAAGATTTCGCAATAAAACCACAAAAGCAACATGAAAACACCTAAGTCAACTCAAAAATAATAGTGTTTGGCTGAAAACATTTATAATTTACTAGTTTCTAACAGATTTATCTTTAAGAGAAACTTATTTGGCAGTAATTGCATAACCTTGATGAACATTAAGTAATTACTATCATTTAGTCTTTAAAGGAAGTTCAGTGAACTTCAGGCTATTCAGATGAGTAATGGGTAGCAAGAATGGGCCCCACAAGTTCCAATCTCAAAAGCCTAATTATTCAACTCTTGTGAATGATATATATTTACCAACTTCATGAGGTTAATTTGCTTAAGGTAAATTGTATGAGTAAACGCACCAGATTGGATCCGTGATGTGTTTTTAGGATTAGGGCAATCTGGATAATAGACATAATCTGAACATCAGGCAGTTTCCTAAGTACTACCGACTGCATAAAATGGCCTGCAAGATGTTCAGTATTGGCTTCAAAAGCCTGAACAGGAAAGAATCTAGCATGATCCTCCAATGAGTTTCGAAGCATGAAAATTCATTTAAAAATCCTTTCCTCTGTGAGTACATCGTATTCGAGCTATACATCAGAGAGGAAATATAGGCATAGAAGTTCAAAATAGCATATTAATTCTGAATGTAACCTTGTATTAAAATACTAAGCTAATTCTTACTCATTGTTCCACAAGCACTCTCAGTTTTGACTTTGGAATCCATCTTTCTGTAATTAGGATTATTGGGTTAACAAGCCTACCTTTGTGAAAATTTCCCCATCCCTACATATTTAATTCCCTTATGGTAGCATTAAAAGTACTGATCTCCTCCTAAAGGCTTGGTACCCGGCCCTGCAGCTGTCCTTACCGTAGTTATAATTGTTCCGAAGATAGGTCTTCTGGGTAGCTTTTATAGGCTTACATTTGCAACGCTCTGTAAAACAGAAACTTTTGTTTAGAAATAATTTAGCATATGGCCAGTTGCAATCTCTCTGAAACTCCAAGTTCATATCTAATAAACAAACAAAAAAAATCTTAAATAATTGCTTTATTTCTAAAGTAAAGTGCAGCTAAAATGTAGGCAGTATTTCTTCTTTGCTACTAACAGAAGACAGATGAAGGCAAAGAAACCAATCTAGCAAATATTAGTCAAATGGATCAGTGTGGTATTTTTCATGCTATAAATAGTGCTTCATATTCCAAACGCAGATCCAAATGAGGAGATAGGAGCCAAGTCCAAGGACTGCAATACCTAGAAGTCTGCACTGTAATGCCTAACTTTCAGGCTTCATGTCCCTAGGACAGAGTCCACAGCTTTAAAGCAAGCTCTGACACTCTCTTTAATGCAGGAAGGAAACTAGAAAATTAGACAGAGTGGCTATCTCAGGGAATTCACAAAGCGAGCAGTGAGCTGCCTTGGTTCCACAGGTGCAGATGGGAAATGCTTTGCTCAATTGTTTTTAACATTGCATTTCTTCTGACTTTTTACTTTTCAGACGCAAAACAGGAGGAGGTCCTAACCCCTATCTCAGAATCCACATGCAGAAATCCTACCACGAAGGGAAGGCACCTCTGTCTCTTCTTTCACCAAACAAAAGAGAGCTTTGTGTTTTCTCCTGCAGCTGGGGGTGAGAGCCATCTTTATTGCAGTCTCAAGAATTTACCAAGAAATCGGAAATCAGAACCCTATGCTGTCCTCAGGCTGAGGGAATTCAAAACTAATTGCATACCACACAGGGAGGCATCTGAGCTTCTCTGAATGAGAAAAATTTTAACTCCTACCTGAAGCTGTGCTTCTGAGCAGCCAAGAAAGTACATACGAGAGATGTCCCTGGCATGGCAACGACAACTGTATTTAATCCTTAACCTAGAAGTTAAACATCATGGAGGGATACAGACAAGAAGCCAGGCTCCTTCACCACAGGGACAAACCACTTTACCTTTTTGGCCACACTGTCATGCTCCTTCTCAGCTTTCCAACTAAGTTTGCCTGAAACAATTTCAGTAGGGATAGTGTTGAAGTTCTGGCTTCTCCCTTAAGAAGCTATAAGGGCTAAAAAAAATCCACGAACAACAAATAATTGTGCAGTTATAAGTAGAACAAGGAGCTGCTCATGAGGCTCTCCTGTGGAACACGAGTCTGGCGAGCCACGGGAGGGTAGTGAGGTGCACACAGGCAGGTTTTGACACGCACCAGGGCCAGCAGCTGGAAACCTCAGTTTCAAGGCAACAATTCTCTCATTGAGCTTGAAACTCCACAGATGCTTGGAGCTCATACTCTCTACTGAGGAAAGATCAGCAGTTTATTGGCAACATCCCCTAGGTCCCACTGCGGTCTCACCAGCATGCTCATTCTTTAATTTGGAAAGAATAATATGGCTAGCATAGCTGGAAAGATTGCCATTGCCTGACCTAAGTCCTTTTGATAAATCTACGCTGTGGAGCATCACATCTGAGTACAATTTAAGATTGTACTGCATATACAGAATTTGGACATGTAATAATAAAAATACGAGGCAGACACACACCTCTTGTTTGACTTTGCTGTATAAAACTGATTAACTCAGGTTTATTTTAGATGTAATAAATAGGGAAATTATTAGTTCATATGGCAGAAAGGATGACCTGCAAAACACAATACAAATGATCACTGTCAAAGTACTATTTCCAGTGTTTCCAGACAGCTGGAAACAATAACTGATGTAAAAACACTTTCATTAGCATCAGGGGAGCCTCTGCCTCATGCTTTTATTAATACAAAATGTCACTGCTGGCTATTTTAATGCAGCTTTCCACTTACTCCAGGCTTGTGTGTAAGTGGAATTTGGTAGAGTTGCACAGCCAAAATCTCCCCCTACAAGCCCCTTAATAGCCATTTCAAACAGCATGCTCCAGAATTAAGCAGCCTTTGTCATCTCTTTGCATACAAGCGCTGGAAGCAAGATCTAGTTCAGAGCAGGACAGCTGACCTGGGCATAAACCCACGTGTCTTGACTTGTGCTTAATGTTCTGTCTATGCAACACTGTCTGCTGACTGTATTTCACCCTGCATTTAAACAGGAGTGGACTTCATACAACCTATTTCTATACACCGCTGATTGAAATATCAATGCATACAACCAGTGGCTAAGAAAAATCCAAAGTCAACTCTAAATTTAGAGTTTCAAAAGGGACTTTATCCCCTGGAAATGATTCCTGCATTAAAATAAACAAATCAAAAAAAAAAAAAAAACAACACAAGGATGGTATCATGGAGCTTTGGACTTCTCAAATTATTATTTATTTTGGATTCTCAAAATGGATAGTTCAAAATATGAAAAAACAGAACATTGCAAATAAGAGAATATTGTTTCCTTCAATATCAAAAATATCTTCAGAAATCCACATATTTCTATATATAGGACCCACTTGAGACTGTATCATTATAACAAGTCTGTTATATACACTAGAGACTTAAGTTTTTGTATGACACTGTTAATAAAAGTGGAGAAGGAAAGTGATTCTTGGCTTCTCTTCTGCCTGCAGACTTCAGGCCAAATCATAGCCCATTTTACAAGTTGCCTCAGAAGAGGCCATAAAAGCCCTGATCCTACGACCCATACTCATGCATGCACCCAAGAATAAAATTCCACAAAGTTTTAGGCTAATAATTTCCTGGTCTATAGAATTCCACTCTCTGGTGCTAGCAGAAAAATACATGCCCTCATATTGCCCTCAATTTTAAGTCAGTATTGAATTTTATTTATTTATTTAAGTGCGATAAATACATTTCATTGGTATTACTCCAGAATCTCATGTAAAGACCTGCCCATGTTCTTAAATGAAGGATAACTTCTAATAATCCTAGTGCTTTTGAAATTTTCAGAGAGCTTTACAAAACAATGCATTATTTCTAATTCTTATTGAGAGATAAAGCTGCTGAAACAGTGAGGCATCAAGGCACTTGTTGGGCCAGCAAGAAGGCAGCTGTAGAGCTAGAGTGAGCTCAGCACTCCCAGTTCCTGTTACAGTGAAGAATTATGCTGTAAAATCCCATTCCACGATGACAGTTTTATATGTTTGTTTTTTTTCTACTAGTCTGGATGCATTATAATAGCTATATTATAATTATAATAGCTAAAATAGCACATTTGAATCTCACTCCCGTCTACTTACATACATGCAGTCTGCATCACTGAGACAGGCAGTTCTGGAACATACTAAATATTTCTGATATGACAGACAGTATCTAGCTTTATTTTCACAACCAAACTGTAGTTCGTACAGTGATCGCAGAGCATGAAATTCATACTTTCTCACATCATGCAATTAAAATAGTATTAATAAGATATGTAATAATAAGAAAATCTTAGTCTTTCAGACATGGATCCATGCTCAAGGCAATTTAAAGTAAAGCTTGTTAAGGGACTTTGACTAAAGATTAACCCTGTAGCTTGTTTTCAGTGCACTTCCACCACTACACATCACTGAACACATGCAACTTCACTTCTTTCCTTACAATTTATGCATTAATATCTACAAGGGTATAGAATTTTCCTTCAGACATTGCACTGTTTTGCTTTACAGTAAAGTAAAGACTTGGAATTTCTACTTTTATTTTAGTAAATAAATTACCTAATTAAATCAAGACTCAACACTAGTCAAAAACACTTTGAGCTGGACAGTGGTGAAATGGGCTCTGAAGCATACAGAGAAGCACCTGTGTGGTGTGAAAAAACTCAGATCGGCAGAACTCCTGTGCTGCACATCACAGGTTTGAACACTGACAGGTTTCTCCTCATGGCAAAAAGTTAAGAGAATTTTTTTGCATTGTACTGATGTGGCAAAATATGCTTTTCTAGATTCTTATCAAGGAAATTAGGGACATTCTTCTTCTCACTGAAGTTTGTTTTGCACAGAAAAGTAAGGGGGAGACCAGCTGCAGCTGGAAAACCTGAGGAAGAAACTACAGCATGTTTTGTAGCAGGGAAGGAAATGCATTTAGTGATGCTTCTTCCTGTCCAATAAGACAAAGCTTTCCATGAAACCAATACACCAGCCTCAATTTGATAGGAATTTTGCTTAAGCAGAAGAAAAAGTGCTAAAATAAGTGCTAAGCCTTCTGTCCTCTGCTAAGAAAAACACAGGTTTTCCAGCCCCCAAATCTCGTTTTCACATGACCGAAATCACAATCTACAAAAGCACAATCCACAAGATTCAAAGACAACACAGAATATATAGGCATTGCTTAGTACTGGTCTTAAATATAGAAAGAATTTGCAAGACTATAGCTTATTATACAGTTTTATAAAAATGTACTCACCACTGCTGGCGCCTCTGCAGTTGCCATTATTAGAATCCATAGGGAAATCTGGCATGGATTCATAAAATATGTAAAGAAGCATTAATATTTTTAATATTGGATTATTTCAATACAGCTATATTAAAATGTTTTTTTTCTTTCTCTAACATTTTGTATATTAAAACTTAATAACTTTATTAATAAACAAAGAAGCTGTAATGTTCAACATGTCAGCCTGTTCTTGTTAAAGATGTCATGAACTTTTATCTAAATTCAAGTGGAACACAGCTCACTCAAATGCAAAAGCAGATTAAATATCACATTTACAGTGACGCATAGATCAGCATGTTTGGGAGAAGGATGGAAATTTATGGCATGTACTTAGGGCATTTTAAAACCTATACATGTTGTTTGCATTTAACAGGATGAGGAGAAATTACATTTGGTTTGTTTTATTGCTTACTAGGGAAATTAAACCAACCATAATCATATCATTGAAGCAAATGCCAAAACAAGTATTTCAGAACTTCCATTTCCCCTCAGTTTAAAAAAAACAGGACAGATAAAGAATGGAACTTAAAAATAAAGGGGCACTGTGCCAAAACTACAAATGTTTCTAAAATCAGTTCTTTGGAAGTAAAATGTGTTCCATGTTGGTAAAATGTATCATTTCAAATCTGCTATTTATTAAATCACACTTCCATTTACTGAATTATGCATATACTTAAAAACAAAAATGAATATATTATTGCATAAAATGTACAAGTAAGAAAGAATAACTGTTTCAATAGAGGGGAAAAGGTAGCACACTTTATTAGAAAGACAACTAAATTGGAGAAAAAAAATATTCGAAAGACAACTAAATTGGAGAAAAAAAAACAAATGAGCCTTCAGATAAAGTCCTCCTAATTAAGTCTGTACACCCAAAAGATTGTCCCAGATGAGCCTTCAGATAAAGTCCTCCTTTAAGTCTGTACACCCAAAAGATTGTCCAGTTTCTTCACCTCTTGCAGCTGATGCCAAACATCATCTTTCTTAAATCCTCACATTATCAGGTATGCAACAGCACAGCTACTTATATACAGATCAAATGAACCCATGACTATGTAACAAATCTACACTCCAGCAGAGATCTATAGGGATCCAGCTGTAATACAGTCCAGGTCACTGATAATACTTTGTGTAGGTGAAGGGCTTAGATACATTGATTAAATATTAAGGACTGGGACTATTATTTAATCATAGATGCTGAACTATAAATACGTATTTAAAACTCTCTGATCTGCCTGCAGTGCAGAAGGAAGTATTAAACACAGCTCGTGGTGGCCACTGCACATGGTGATGAGGCCTGGCCTGGAGGTTTTGCCACTCCAGGCACTCAGGAGAGCAGCAGCCCCAGCAGCCACACACAGAGCTCTGCATCTGCTGCTTGGGCAACCGCTCAGTTTGTCTTTGAGACCAGCACACTCTGCATATGTCCCAAACAGCTTTTTTTCTGGTGCTTCACCTGGCCCAAAAAACTACAATTCCTGCCAAAACAGGCACGTCAGTTATGAATGAAGGGACATTTTGTTCGCACTTCTAAATCACATTCCCTATGCCAGTAAAACTGCAAACGAGGGCTAAACCAGTGAAAGCACAGAAAGACACCCTTGCAAAACTGAAGGCTGATCCCAGCATCCACGAACTTCATGAGGCTTGTATCTTAGATCTGCGTTTTGATCCAAACTGCCAAATTCTGACCATCCAGAAAAATCACCTACTGTTCTTTTTAGTTTCATACTCCTGCACAGGGATGTTTTTGATAACAAACGTTTCTTTTGCCACCCAAAGAGAGCAATTCTAAAGGATTAATAAGCAATTGAACAAAATAATAAATTTGTATACCAACACACAACTCCAGAATTAGAACCTACAACTGGATTATTGGATTCAGTTCAACATCACCGCTACTTCAGTGGAATGTCCAGCCAACTCTGGAGTTTTAACTAGAGACTAATTTGATAGAGCTGCTGTGTTCCTGTAACTTTGGGCCAGATCCCCAGCCTTGATTAACCAGCTTTCATTCACAGCAGTACTATAATAATTTGCATCAGCTGAGGAACTTTCCTTGTAGCCAATATACAGAAAACTCTATTGCAATGCAATGAGGGTTGATAAACACTCAGCATGCCTAACATAATCCTATAATCCAAAAAATAACAGGGAATTAGAATGCTTTCCAGCAGATGTTCTCTTCTACTTCTAGGTATGTGACTTTTTCTAAAAACCAAACACCATACCACAAGCTCAAACCATTTCATAATTCTGCACACACTTGCTTGCCCATTCACTTATGCTACCCCCAACCAGTAGTTATGGGTATCTGCTGAAACAGCTGGCTGCACTGCAAAAAGAACAGCCTGGTAAGAAATTGTGTTCAGAAGAGCTTTTACAGGAAAGCTGTTCAGTTTTTGTGCCTAAGTTAATTGCATTGCACTCTGCAACTGTGGCCACAGTTGGGTGTTAATCAATGAGGGAAAGGGCACTAAACAAGTACAGCTACTTTTAATAACAAGCAACTGACTTCCAGTTGTTCCACTTCTCTTCAGAACTGGCCTCTCAGCAAAGCTCTGTCTCCACAAAAGACCATTTTGAAAGAAGTATCTGTCAACAATGATTAGCAGGACAGCCAAGGAGGAATATTATCCAGTGCTCAAACTCTAGGGTTTCCTATTAAAATCTGATTAAGGAGAAAAAAAAATCCCATAAGCCATTCTAATTATTATTTTTTTTCTTTAGTGAGAAGCTATAAAAATTACTCACAGCAGAATAAAAGCTATTTGCATTGTAAGTGTACAAAATAACAATTGCTGGACTACAGATTTGGATTAGAGGTTTAGGAAAAAGAAACAGTTTGATGGAACTTAATTCTGAACACACCATCTTATTTATGTCAGTTTTAAAAAAGGGGGGGGCAAGTGAGATAAAGATTGCCAGTGCAATTAAAAGAATAGGTATTGCTGAAGCCACTCCAGGAACACTGCCTGAAACAACAGAACCACTGAGACTGGTTGTTGCTTGGGCACTTTCTGCAGATGGAGGTATGCAGACCTTGTTAATTAAAAAAACCTTTCAAAAACACACACTTTTAGACTTAACAAACTACTTCAGCTCTATGTACCTGTGCTTATCTGACTGCAAAAAAATGAACAAGAATAGTATAAAAATGACAAAAAATATGCTAGTTAAAATTGAATATAGGTCTCTGAATTGTCTCTGTATGCTAAAGCGTAGAGCATAGAGCAGCCTCACAATCCTTCTGTTCTCTCTCTCTATATATATATGTGTGGAAATCTGAGACTCTTATCTTCCATTTACATCAATAAGAAAACAAATATTTCTCACTGTCTGCACCGAAGCCTGACAGGTTTTGATAACATTCAGCTGCACAGAGCTCTTCTCTGTTCTTAGACCATAAAGCCATTCTAGGGAATTCAGTCTTCAAGGGCTGGCAATTGGAAGTGATACTGCAACATATTTAATTATATTACCATTAACAAGGTTTAACATTCTTTTACTTAAAAGCTTTTAAATTCTCTTATTTCATTTGCTCCTGGTATCTCCTTTAAATCTTGCACCTTGTGATTATTTTGTTCTTTAATTAAGAAATTAGTCCACTTGAAAGTTGTGCAAATGACTAAAACAAGTCCCCACCCTAAAACGACAGCATCAGCATACGCAGTCTCCCTGAGGAAGGCATATTGTGTAGTCTGAAACACTTCCCTAACACCCCTGTAGAGCTTGACTACAGCAAGTAGAGCTAAGCAAAGCGTGATCTCAACTGCAGTAATAAGTATTTTGGAAATTAAGTTATTAAAATATGGAAAATGAGCATCAGAAATTACTATTTCACTTTTGTTTTAAGCATCGAATGCCTAGTTCACATAGTGGGTTACTATGAATTCAGCTAGGCAGACATGATAGAACTACAGTTAAGACTCTCAAAAATGTCTTCTGCAAATCAAGGTGATTTAGAAGCATTTGAACTGCTCAGGAATCCTCTTGTGACATGGATTTGTATTACAAGACTGTAGGCTGTCAACTCCAGAAATACGGAACCAGTGACGGCGTGATCTGCTTTCCTCGCAGAATATGCAAGTTAAATCACAAAATAAGTACTGCTTCTTATAAGTAATGAAGCATTGAACAAGATCAAATACTGTGAGAAATGACCGAAACATTTTGCAAAATTCTGTAAGAGAAACATGAAGGTCTGCAAAGTCATCCCTACAATAAACATCAGCACACATGCCAGAGGGCTTTTCTGAATCAACAACTGAACACCAGCAAAGACTTTGGTTACTTATTATGTATAAGATTAAAGACAGACTTGTAGATGCCAGAGCTGACAGACCAGGTAATGCAGTGGCCTTTGTTTGCTTCAGTAAATACTTCTTGCTGCTTCACAAAATAAGGAAGATTTGACAGGAATGAATGACAACAGACAACTCAATAAACTTGAGGAAGAGTCAGACTTATATACTCAGCGCAGACACTGAAATACATGAAGCAAGATATAGGAACACAACTTACATACAGCTATTGAGCATGTATCATAGAACATCAGCATGTATCAGTATCTGGTAGTGGAATCACTTTCTTCCAGAAGAGGGGAAAAAAAAAAAAGAAAAAAAAAAAAAAAAAAAAAAAAGCATACAGGCTTCCAAGATAAAAAGCCTGGGACAGAATTGGCCTTTGCACACAGTGGTCTGGCAACTGCAAGTTTGACGCATTGTCAAGAGGCTTTTCTTGTTGGTTTAATTCCCCTTCCTAGACTGTGATTTGTGGGATCCTCCAAACAAACCAAAATACCCAGTGTCATACTAGACTCCAAAACATCTACACAATGCCTTTTAGACACAGGCCTGGAGATTCCCTTTGCTATGCAAGCATAAAAGAACCCTGATGTTTTTCACAGGTCATGAAAACTGGACCAAATTTACTGACAGATATGAAGTATCTGTAATATAAACTATATTTATTATGTGTCGCATATATTATTGTGTTGTTATATATTATACAAATATATATAAAATAACAAAAAAGCTAAGTTCCCACAGGCCAAATGTTTGAAGGTGGTCCCTAAAACCTGAATGACCTTGGTCATCCAAAAGTAGCAGCAAAGTCTAGCAGTTTTAGGAGGACAACAGAAGCCAAGAGGGTCCTCTGTTTGCTCCTCATTCTAGCTGCATAGGTTGTCTCTAACTGAATCCTAAACAAGGCATTAGTAACATTCTCAGCAGCTTTCTCCATCACAGATTTATTACCGCTTATTTCATCCCTTTAATGCATAGGTAGCTCTGAAGATGCTCATGGAGGATTAAAACATAACTCTTTACCAATAACTGAGAGTGAACATTTTACTGGGATTTGCCACGGATTTTACCAAACACTCTATATTTTATACTCTATATTTATAGATTTATTGTAGGCATGAGGTGTACGACTAACATGAATGAAATTCTTCATCATTTACTGTAATGCTGACTAAAGAAAAAAGTCAAGTGAACTTCAACTTGGCATGTCAAAATGACAATTAAAGAAAAGACCATTTACTTTCACGGAGATAGAGATTAGATACAAGGAAAGAAATGGTTTTGGTGGACCCGATGAGGCAGAACTTCCAGAAATTGCATATTGAGGAGCAACAATCAACACTTTGCACAACCACATGTAGAGCCTGCAATCAGGAGCCCAGCAGATGAGAGAGGCCGGCAGCAGCTGATACCAGCACAAAGCAGCCTGTCAGAGCACCCAAAAGGGAATTTTTGTAAGTTCTATACAGATACTTCCTAGCTGAAGAAGAGCCAGGTGACAACAGAACTGGCACAACACAAAATCATCAAAAACCTTTCAGTGCATGGAACCAGCAGAAGCAGCCAGGCCACAAGCACTCTTGAGTCCTGTAGCCACTGCCTTTGCCATGATAGCTGGAGTCCCCAGCTCTCAGATTGTACCTGACCCTTAGAAATTGCCTATGCCTCTCACAAGCAGCTCACATCACAGAGGATGATCTTCCCAGTGTGCAGCAAGCGTCAGAACAGCTCTTGGACCCAGCTGAATCACAGGTTCATAAGAGACTATGGCGGATCATTAGGAAAGAAAATGGAAGTCAGGCCTTCTGAACTGTCCCTACTCAATGGCAAACACCTGAGCACACTATCTTTAAGGCTTCCACTTTACATAAGGGATTAAAAACACATTAATCCTTCCTGGTTAATAATGCAGAGATTTTGAAAGCAAAGAATACAGTACAATCCTGCCATTTTGCAGGTAGAAAGTCCCTCTTCTGCCTTTTATCTTGAAAATGAAAAATGAAGGTTGCACTTCTTAAGAATAATAATAATAAATCTCTTACACAACAAAAGCCAATGAAAAAAAAAAGATTTTGTGTGTATCTGCTCTACTAAAAGCAGTTTACAAACAGCATGAAGGAGGAATGCTCAGGAGGAAAAATAACAGTACTGTATACTAACCATTGAGCAGTTTGTTATTTGCATCTTCTACTTGGCTGCAATCCTTTATTTGGAGAATTGGGAAACGTTCACCTTACTTCTTCCTAGAACCGGAATACTTCATTCTGCTTTCTAAAGGAGCATTTTTATTCCCTCAAGAAGGATTCTTTCAGTCTAGTGAATAATACATTGGTTCAAAATTTTAAACCCAGAAATGAGAATGTCATCAAGTTCTCATTCGCTGAAAGAAAGTTTTCATGGATTCTCGACTGGAATCATTCAAAGAGGTTATTGTACTCCTGTGGTCCTCAGAAATAGGTAACTCTGGGGCAATTTTAGCAAAACTTCCTCCCTTCAGATTTGAATGTGATTGCTTTCAAATTGCTGTAGATTTGCCAAGCCTCGCTCAGTTTGGATCCATTTTAAGGCCGTCATGAAAGCATCTCAATGCTGCAGAGATGCAAATTTGGTGTTCAAAACCACACTTCTCCAAACCCATCCATCCCAGTAGGTCTGCAGTCCTCCAGAAGAATGTAAGAGATGCAGAGTCAAAAATAGGTAGCTATGTTTATAGACTGAATACTGTTAGAAAGTTAAAAGAAGGAAGGAAAGGCTAGAGAGGAACAGTTGGAAGGTTCAGAGAGAGCTTTAATAATAGCTTCAGATATCAGGGTATGATTATTGAGTGTTATGTAGCCTTGAAGAGGTAGAAAGGATAATTTGATGGAATGGGAAAAGAAATTGAGTTAGCCTGGCCTGCAAATAAACAGGAAGGAGTGAACAAAGATGCTTATCTGGGAAAGGCTGAAGAGGGGGAGGAAGGCCAGGAAACTAAAGCATAAGATCTTAGGAGAAGAGAACAGGAATTTAACATTACTAGGAACGGGATAACAGCACAGTCAAACTAAAGTACTGATCACAGCAAGTCAGAAGCTAAAAAGACCTTTCCTTCCAAGGACCCTGGTGACGGAGGGAAGGACAAGGGCAAGAGGGAAGAGATGACAGCAGGGAGCGGCGGCACCACATGCCACAGCTGCAGCAGCAGAGCTGCTCACAAAGAGCGCGAGGAAGGCAGAGGGGCATGCGCAGGTGCAGCCCTGCCATGCGTGCAGCGCCCCGTTAACAGCTCCCTGCCAAAGCTTGCCTTTTTCTGCTGCTTGGACACACAGACTCACCAACACTGTGACTTACAGCGTGCTCCATGCAACCCGATTAGCTCATTGGCAAATGTTTTCCTCAAGTGAGACAGGCCATTTTGTAAAGGTCAAAGCTCAGACATAATAACTACCACTGTCTACTTTAATGTTCTATTCAGAAGCTACTTCATTTGAGTACTTCTGTGCTGCTCGTCATCCCACGCTGCAGGTGTGCAGTGCTAGCCCCAAAGACTGCTCCCTTTTCACTACCAGCAGAATTGCAGCCTCAGCAGGGCAGAAAACCTCTCCAGCAACAGCTTTGCCGTGTCCTGATGACCCAAAACATCCAACCACATGGAGATTTTCTTTCTGCTCAGGTAAGCCTTAGACAGCAATACCATAACACACCTAAAAATCAACATACCTTGCAGTATGTAACAGAGTTAAGCACAGCCAGTGAAACAGGATGCAGCTGGAAAGCTGCCGGGCTCCACAGGCTCAAGCAGCCCCTTGGAGGCCATCGCAATGGGACATTAGGTTAGACTAAACTGCTTTAACACTGGACCCAGCCTACAGCTCCCTTAGGCCCCCAGCAACAAGACACACTAAAAATGCCCCTTGGTTTCCCTCCTCCTGACTGTACCCAAGGCAGGACCTGTGCGCAGCTGTGCGCTGGACACAAGCGTGGGTTCACACATTTCCCAGCAGCTTTTCTCTGAATCAGCTGCCCCGCAGGGCTAGCGCAATCTGCCTGTGCTGCCACCGGAGCAGGGACACGGCTGCGTCCCGATGCGTGTCCAGCAGCACAGGCCCAGGTGAGGGGCACCCCGCAGACCCCACGGGGCACAGGGCGAGCAGCACCCAGTCCTGCTGCCACGGAGGCTGAAGGGGCAGCACAGTGGGCAGCAGACTGGAGGGACAAGCAGGTCTCACACCAGCAGCTGCTGCTGCTGACCACATATTGAGACAGAGATGGGGTGCCCACAATTTCCTACGTACATGAATGCTTCCAGAAGTCAAGTTTTAAACCTTCACCAGGCTCTGCTGCAGACCTGTCTGTCACTCGTCAAATTTAGTCAGAGCAGAACTTTTATCATGACTGATACTGGGAGTAAAGATGGAGAAAAGAGGTAAAAAGCATAAGGGGTGTGTGTGTGTGGGCAGCTTAGCCCTGCTGCACTCTAGATGTAAAGAAAATACCATAACTGGTATCAGGATCAGTGAAATTCAGAAAAATGTGCTGAGGTGTTACACAGCTTGAGTTCGCCCGCCGCCGCGGCCGCTCACCCTCGGGCAGCTCGGTGACGATGGCCTCGGGGGAGATACACACGCCGCGCTCGTAGACGGGCAGCTCGTCGCACGCGAGGCTCTCGGGCCAGCTGTGGTTGTAGCGGCGCATGATGGGCTCGCAGCCGTCGCGGGCGCGCTGGCACACGGACTTGCAGGGCTTGATGGGGTCGTAGAGGAACTCCAGCGTGCAGATGGGCGCGTACATGGCGCACAGGAAGAAGGGCAGCAGCGGGCTGCAGCCCGTGCCCACGAGCTCCTCGTACTGCTCGATGGCGAGCACGGCGTTCTCCTGCGTGCTGTGGTGCAGGTGGTTGGGGA